CATGACTGCCTCTCATATTGACAGGAAAAAATTCATTTATCAAACTACCTCACATGGGTAAGGCGTTAAAAGTAAGACATATCGATGCACCTCTCCACATCTGTCGACCTTGCGCTCTCCTATACGCCATCAGCAAAATAGCAGTGCACTCTTCCCCTCCCCTTCGAATTGCTCTTTTCAATGTTTTCCCTTGCATAATTTAAGTAATCATGTGCTTATGCGTTAAGAATTTTAAGAATGGTCCCTTAGCTTGCTCCCATTTTTATAATCAAGTACGCTATTTTAGGTCCGAATTCTCCACCACCGCGCGGTTTGCCTTGTGTTTCATCGTTTGTAAGGATGATTGTTGACGAAACCTGTAATCGTGGAGTGTCCAGCGAGTTCGAGTTCCGAACGGAAGTATGACAAAAATCTTCAATTAAAACCTAAAATTTTATTCGGACTGTTTTTTGATAAGCTATCAATCAAAATGCTTTGGACTGGGCTGTCACTTCCCACATAAAATGTCTTAGCTTGTTCGATTTTTATGTTGATACTCCATACTGGAGGATTTAAACAACGAAATGAATCTTGTAACGCTCGGATCTTTAGCCATTACTTATGATTGCCTCAATCGATTGGACTTTCTGTCCCTTCATAAGCAAACACATCATTTGCACAATGATGACGTCGTTGCAATGGCTATGCCTTACGCCAGTAATTTGAGCCACTGTCAATTAACAGTGCTCGTTCTGATACTGAAACAGGGAAAAATCCCAGCAGAATCACTCCACAATTGAAAAGAAATCTAGACATTATCTGTTGCGTTCGAGTTGTCATATGCTCCATTTTGCTAGACTTGAGGATGGACAGAAGTCTGAAGCAGCTGCTACTGTTAACGGTTATAGTTGCTGGATCACATGAGTGAGTTGATGCTGGACCGACTACGAGTTTGGGATGTTGGTACGCGTTCTGAAGAATGTGTGGCATTGTCGTTGCATTTCCTCCTCACCTGGGCATCTCGTGGCGTCTTTCGCGACAATGGTGCCGCCGCACAGGCCTGCGTACGTCTTCACGACGCTATATGTGCCTTTAAAGACAGCGTCATCATGGAACGAGTGAGAAACGTTGCTCTCTTTCTCTACTTTCTCTTCTCTCAATCAAGTTTGTTAGTTTCTGGGATTTTCGACCCTTGACTAGATTATGCCTTGTTCAAAAGCTCATTATTTGCCCTACTGGATCATGTAATCACGACTGTGTCCTACAACTTTTTGCAACCAGATAATGACCGCGTCCATATTGTCAAAGCCAGGTGTGGATTACAATTTTTGAGTCATCCCCATGACTGGCGTATAGCATTTGAAACCCTTAACCTAACGGATGGCAAGCATCTAGACAGACTAATGAACGATTAATTCACTGATGCAGCGAATTCATATTGTTATGATGCTGCTTAGCTCCCATCATAACTATTTAACAAAAATGCCCTTATTTAACCATATCTGCGCTAGGGTGTGATGGCGTAGTTAGGAAGTCTTCCAATTCCATTTCCTAATGCATCATTTTCTTCGTAGATTATCTTCCTCCTCTTTCGAATCAATG